ATCTAGATGAAATAAAAAACGATTCAATTCGAATTAAATCTCTCGATAAGAACTTCTTTTATCGATATCTATCGAAAATATTTTCGATACATTATACTTCATTACTGTAACTACGAAAGAAAAAAACAAGACGAAAAGGTCTTATTTCGAGAGTAACAAATATATTATATTTGTTTCTTCTTTTCTTGCATATTAAAGGAACAACATTTGAAAATAACCTTATCATATATGGGCAAGTAAATAACAACAGTGTTCTTATGAGTGACTCTTTTTTAAGGTAAACAAAATATTCATATATACAATTATAATATATCATAAGCGATGGATTCTATCGACTCTATCTATAAATAAATAATAAAACCAATGGAAAATCTCTTGCAAAAAAATAACATTGAACGAAACAACCAATTAACTCTATAGAAGAGAAATTCTTTAAAAAAAATGACTTTCAATGCATCCACCCATACCCACACCCACACACACATAAATATTATAAGGGCAGCATCATTCATACACCAAATCTTTGAAACAATTTCTCCGTATTACGCTCTAATTCCTTCTCTGCTTCGGGGACGTTCACGAAGAAAAGCTGCCTCTTGTTCGCCTTCCCATTCGTTTCCAGATGTCAACATTTCAAAATCTTGATCAGTGACCATCAACGAAAGACCATTCCCAGTCGATCAAAGCTCATATGGCTTTTTCATTGGGGTCAATGATAATATTTTTGGGTGCTATACTCGTATGCGTGAGTACTACCCTCTCGTCAAATACAGATTCTCTTTGTTTTTCTCGTAATAACTTGATGATTGCTTCGAATTTCGGAACGTAGCAAGAATACTTGCATTCCAACATTTCTTCTAGTCTGTAGTGTATGAAATCACACGAGTAGTCGTAGATATCGTCATAAAGACCCAATCCAGAATCGATGTTTGGACATAAGACAGCTTCGAACGTTCCGTTTTTCTCTACAATTTTTTCAAAACAGCCCAGCTTGTTAGCATCTGCAGAAGTAATATCTATATTAACAATGTCCGCGTAGATTTTTGCTATCTGGTTCAAGTAAGGTTTTCGTTCCTCAAAACTCAGTGAATCATAGACGTCGGATAGTGAGATTCCTGGTACATATGTCATGAGAATGTACTCGTATCCTATAAGATCGTTCGTGTACGAGTAGGATATGACTCTGGGTACCGGTATGTTTGTATGTTTGTGCAAAAAAGCAGGCACAACTGCTTCATTTCTTGTCTTGAGTGTCTTCCAAAGAGGATTGGCTATTTTGAGGATATATTGTTAATCATTGGATGCCCTTATGTGATATATTGGATTCCAAAATCCATTCACAATACGTGATGATGTGAATTGTTCGTCGTACGAAAGTACATTTGCATGACGTAGAACTTTTTCGATTTGCTCATTGGTAATTTGATGAGTATAGACCGTCATTTTTGGTGACTTGCTGTGTGCAAATTATCTAAGCTATTCTAGAATAGAAAAACTTCGATCAACTCTGTTTTAGTGAAGATGTTGCTTAAATAGTGGTACCTTCCAAAAGTCAAAACAGACATGGAAGCGCAGTTTTTAAAGTGAATGATCTGTGGCAGCGGCGTAGCCAAGGGAGGGGCAAATGAACAATTGCTCATTTCATTTGGAGATTTGCCCATTGAAATTTTACTTTTTCAGAATTTTTTAATGTAAATAGTTGTGTTCCATCCAATCATGATGAAAAAAAGAAAAGTAAAGATTGATGAAATTTCGTAGTGTGGACACATGACAAACTGTAAATATCTTAAAATTTAAACATCTCGGTCCATGTACGCTATTGGCAGCTCATATTTTAAACTAGTTGGCATGTGAGTGAGAGTATTCATTTGATTCGACTATGAGCAATCTCCTTAATTTGCCATGCATGTGCAAACAAATCGTATATATAAACAATGCAGATCAAAAAATTTTACGAAAAATAATAAAGATTATGGAACATAAATTTCATATTATTTTTCAAGTTTTCCTTTGTTCAAAATTTCTCCTTCAATAAATCTTTTTAAGCTAAAATATGTTTACAAAATCGTTCAAAAAAAATAATTAGCATTCATTCTTAAGTTTAGCAACAGAAAAAATTTACTGATATATTAAAGTACTCGTCAGTGGATGCAGACCTCAGAAACTACTAAAGATTAAGAAAGGAAAGAAGGCCGCGGGTGTGTGTGAATGGGTGTGGATGTGAGTGTGGATAAATGGAGTAGTTACAGACACACCCATACCCATACATCTACACCCTCCCACACTCACATCCACACCCACACCCACGACGACAAGCATTAAAAAATAGTAAACATTGTTTACATGTTTTTGTTATGTCAGCAACAATGAATGTCGATTTATTTTCACAATATTTTAATCAAGCACCGATTTTATATCTTCAAGGACAACAATATCCTATCGATGTTTTTCATGTTCAAGAATCTCAAACAGATTATATTTATGCTTCACTGATTATCCTATTTCAGGTAAACCATTGGAAGCGTATAAAAGAATTTTCTCCATATCTTTGCTCGAAAAAAAAACTAGAGACTTGTCTACCAAATTCTTGAGATCCTGTGAACTTTTCGGGTATAGGAAAGCGGAGGGTTTCGTACAGATTGATTTCGATTAATTTTTTCAGGACTTCTCCGGAATCAATTCTATTACATATTCGCCTTGAAATACCGTAGATATGACTCTGTTTTATCTTGTTCAAGGTTCGCTGTGGTAACCAGCTCTGCTTGGTATTTTATCTATGCTCTTTCATGATAAACAACATCATTTTCTTTCAAGCGATAGGCGAAAAAGAGCATCTTGACTGTTAATACAAGTACTTTAAACGACATCATCCAACGTAGATGTGACTGCCTGGCCTAAGATACAGAGTCTTCATTGCTGTTGGAGCAATTATTCTCGATCTGTAATAGCTGGAACTTGTTTATACGAATCACGCGATAGTATACGAACGATCAAAGAGATTAATGAAATACACAAGTCCGGAGCCCGAAAACAGATCGAAGAAAAGTTGGGTTCGTTTCGGGCTCTGACACGAGTTCCAAATTCTATCCAAAAAATAGGATCGTCGAGTCGTATGCATTTTTATTACATTGTCTGTCTTATAATTCTATGACGAAAGTCACTAGAATTCGACAGATACAAACAGCTAACTTCTTCGATGAGATTCAAATTCGGTCATATTTACCGTGTTTCTAAGGTCGGGAGAAACGCAGAAAAAAATCAACCTATCCGAAGCCCTACACCTGAATGTATCTAAACAGTTCATAAGATCTCAAAAATTTGATGGACATGTCTTTGGTTTTTTTCGATCAAAGATGTTTTCTGAGCTAGCCACTCGAAACAGAAACATTTTCCAAATCTTGATACGCTTTCGGTCGATTTACTCATAGTGATAAATCTCGGCAAGAAACACGTTTTATTTTTTCAAGATACATCGTTTGATACCACTCCATGAAGGTATACTCATTTTTCTTATTGGTCAAGATGAAATCGATTCAACATGTAAAATAATAAAACCAATTCTTGCCAATAGTAGTTCACATAAAAATGGTACGGAACCATTAGAATCATTTGTGGCTCTTCCACTCTATGCAAATATGACTACTGTCAAACAAATGCTTGTCTTCAAACAAACATCTCCAGGTAAAAAAAAAGAAATGTTTATTATAAAGAAAAAGAAGAAAATCAATTCA